ATCGAATGTCTGGTAATGCCTAAATGTTTGTCTGAGGGCTTTAATTGAGACGACAGGAACCAGAAATATGAAACACAGTGTATAATTGCGTGGGAACAGATACGAAGTCTAACTGAAGAATAAAGAAACCCTGATATACCGGGCGGTGAAAGTTTGATTTATATATTTGTCGCTTCCTACTAGACCGACCAGCCTAGATCAATCAGCACCCACCTCAAGCAAGAAGTCTTTAACAGACGAGCAACCGTCCTTCGTGTACAGAGCGCACGCCTGGAATCACTTATTGGTCCAAGCTACATCTATATGATCAGGTATCTAGTAAGAGTCGAGTTTGCACGGGATACCAGAGTACTCTCAGAGACATCTCACACAGATATTGGGTACAATCCTCAGATGGACAATTCGATCTATACATGCCCACGATAACACATTTATGCGAGACAACCTCCGACCATCCAATATTAGCGATATAAGAGGCCTTCTTGAGCTTTGTGTTTCTTGATCGCATTTACGCTATTGAAAGATCATGAATGAACAGTTAGATAAGAGTCGGATTAGGAGACCGTCCTATTGTATGCCCATGAGGTTATTCATGGGTCCATAGTTATGTTCTCCATACGGGAGACTAGATTTAATGCGATATATATAGTATAGAATAAAGGTGGTATCACTGGAAATAATCGCACCTAACAATTACTAGACGCCATGGGTTACTGCTAAGCTATCAAATTTGCATTGAGAAATGTATATGATTGGGGCAAGGACCGACAGAGGAGTAGAGGTGAGGCTTGGCAGAAGGAGGCCATCATAATCTACAGAAAAAACCATGTCGTAAACATCCCATTCGAAACAGCCTGCTGACTTGATGGAAATGCTGTAACTCGATGACATGCCTCGAAATTGAATCGCGTCGTAAAAACCCAGAATTGAATCAGCGAAATCGTTGAATTGTATCTGATCTAGGCTGCGGGTTGCTTTGTACCTAAATCTGTTAATGTTTTTTCTCCATGGCAATTTATTCCATTGACATTTGTTTAAACTAAACTATAAACAACTGCACAGATCTTTTTGTAACGATTGTTACAAAATCTTCCAGTTTTGATTCCCGATTGCCCGCTAACCGGCACTTTTCTTTCTAGAGTGTCTTCGAAAATTGATAATACGAAATTCTAGCCGAATAAATTGTCTGGGAAACTGTTAAACCCTAGCCTCTCTCGATCAACAGTCTCAACAGCTCTTCAATTTTTAGTATGAGATGACTCAGCACCACCGCCACCATGTTTGGGAAGTATCGCACACGCTCGATGGTGGTGATTCACAATCCGAGGATGATTCAGGAGGAATATATATAGCATGCTTCGTGCACACAGTCAAATCAGCGGAGTGCTATAAATTCTATGACGTTTGGCAGGGACAATATCATATTGTGTCCCTGCCCCTCTGGAAATTGAAGGAAGATATTGTTTCTCAGTCTTTATTATATCGATTGTTCTCGTATCGTTACGTTGAGTCTGCGGAGTGCTTGCACTATCACGTGGAGGTCATATGGTGAGACCTGCTAAAGAGCGACGAACTGCCGTAGAAGAGAGTGCTGACTATTGTCCACGGGTTCGAAGAATTAATGAGCCTCCACGCAACGATAGAGGTAAGGTTCGAGTGAGTACATACGGTGAAAAGACGATAAGGCGAAGAAAGTCAGTGCATCCCTGGGGAACATTTGCTACTCTCTTATGAATGTAATGTGAACCTGTTAAAGACTAGTCTGTATGCTCACCAGACAGACACTTGATCGTAACCTCACTCTGTGTTTTTAAATTGCTTAACCATTTTTTTACTATTCAATGTCAAAGAAGCCTAAGCAAACCAGTATAATTAAATTGTACAAATAACTATTTCTTGGTTTTTAATTCTTCAGATTAAAACTCAAAGAGCAATACAGTTTTTTATTGTTGCTAGATTATTAAATATTAATGGACTCTTGCAACTTGTTACATTTCCAAACATTCCGAACAATTCCATCTTGCCACAACTTAAAAGGACCAAACCTTCTCAGTGATGACTGTTTTTATTTATTTTTAGAACGCAGAGAGCCTCCACAGCTACTACCGGAGTCGTTAGAACCCGCAAATGTTGAAACTATAGAGCACTCTTTTTATACAGCACGGCGCAGGGTAGAAAATAGAGACTGATCAAGATATTTTAATGTTGGAAAGAAGTCATATTCAGTAAATTATTTCACGAGATTTAACTGGCAATCTCCCCACTTCTCAACGGGACCGAAAGGGAATGCTCCACCTTGTCCGGACACGAATTTTCTCTAAAATGATGCACTTAATACAGTATTTTTAGAACTGTCTTACGGAATATCGGAATATTTTTAAAAACAACTGCTTGTCTCTGTAAGACCGAGGATCTGGTCAAATCTTTGGTTTTTCCTGGCTTAGCCAGCAATTACATTTTCGAATGCCGAAATCAGTTTTGGCTGAAAAATGACCGGAACGCGTGGAATATTTCACAAATTGCGCAGAACGGTTAGATTTCTCCCCCCCCCCTTGTTGATGACCGCATTAGTAATGAATGTCAGCTGAACAAATGAATGAGAAATTGCCTTGCTGGGACTAGAACCCCCTATGCTCAGATGAAAAACAGATGGTACCGCCCTACCAACTCTTACCTATTCTTGGTTACTGAATATTCAGAATTTGTTCATCTTTTCAATTAAGTTTCATACACGTACTTTCTTGCAATAGTTTCACGTAGCCATATGATAAGTGTTTGTTTTTGCAGACAAATCTTTGCAAACCTTTTGTTGACTTTTGTAAGAACAATCGTAATTTCACTTTTGTAAAGAATGCACAAATTTTTTTGCAAATGTAATCAAATGCAAATAAGGTGGCGGAGTCATGCATACATCTCTACTCCATGATAACAATATCATTCCTGAAATCTAAAAATAGATTAAATTTCTCATTTTATCAAAATGTTTACAATCATTACCAAAAATTCATTTAAATCAAAATTTCTTGCTTCGAGTCCTTAGGAATTTTCTGCAACGTACGATTTTCTGGAATAATTTCCTCTTGGTGCCTGAAACTATGTCCAACAGACATTATGGTCATTCAAAGTACTTTGTACCTTAACTATTGCATAGGAGCATGCGCACAACGATGAGCTTCTTGGTTGGTAGTTAGGGTACGTCACTGTCTAGTAGACTAATGCACGTCACTTGAATCGCGAGCTGGAGTTGATTATCCGGTGAGTCATGTCAATCGTGACAGAGCAGATAGCCTGTTGCTCCGCACAGCACGCCGGTCACTTGTTGCGCGGCGATGCCACCAGAGTGAGCAAGTAGAGATGCTGTCGTGAGGAGTCGCGGCTAGAACCAAGACCGAGGACAGCGCAATGTGTCTGAGGCGGCCGATTGCAAGCCTGAGACTGAGGCTTGATGGATTGGTTGGTATATACCAGCTCAAAAGGACATTCCCGTGTTATTCTTGCGATGTGGTGACAAACTATGGTAGGAATAGAGTATGAGTCTGGATAGCGTTACTAAGCGTGTGAGAGTGTGCTGTCCTGGTTGTCGTGAGGCGAGTACAATATCTTTGCTCGTGAGAGAGGACACAGCTATGATAGGGAAGGGTACATATATCGTTCGTGATGATGCCTCGGGCGATATTACATTGTGCCACTAGAGTATAGTAAGCAATCCATGGAACTGGAAGATATATAGAGGAGGGTCACCGAATTTCAGAAACACGCAAGCCAGAGCGCAGACCTCGACTCCTCGAAACACTATGCTCTGCTAGCATGTCCTTTTAGATGGATCACACTCACATATACAGCCGAACTCTGCACGTAGCTACGCACTGAGTGCGAGCCGAAGGTCCACCGGGCAGTTATATGGTTATCTAGCCGCACGATCAAGCCGTTCACTTATTGATGCGAGTTGGTCATACTTGAGGGATGCGGTCCAGTACAGAGGTCATATAGATGGTTAAATCGCTAAGGTTATAATAATGTTAATAATGGGCAGCTTTGAAATCCTCTATATTAGTCTATGATCAGCTACAGTACGAGAAAGCAGTCATCAATTCTGAAAGTAAAGATAGTACACGAAAATGCTTTCACCTGGATTATGGCAGGATTCATAAGTAAGGAGTGAGAGGGACGGCGCGGAAGGAGAAGCGCACGTGTCGCTTTGTGGCATTCACGCTGACAATATGAGTATTTTGAGGCAATGGCGTGGCCCAATCTAGTAAAAGAGCTCAGTAGAGGGCTTTTAGAATCCCGCCGAGGCCAGTAACTGGATCAAGATAGAGAGTGACTACGTTTCATCTCACATGGAAGTGCTAGCGCGCAGACAAATATACGAATAGAGTATCCTTGAAAATGATAATGAGAGTACGGAAAGCTAATTATGTGTAGTATATCGTGCATACTGTATAGACAGTGCGGGAGTAGAGGAAAGTATATATTGTCGCTTCATGGTACTACCTCGAAAAACCAGTCTTCTATAGAACCCTTACAGGGATTGTTTTGCTCATCTATGTAAGTCTGTGAACATTTCTTAAACTTCTCGCAACTACGATAACTTACTTGATTATCAGAATATTGTGCACTCTTGCTCATTATGCGAAGACCGGAAATGCCTAATTAATTTTGACCTTTGAACTCACTCCCTATTCTTCTAATTCAGAGAAAACATTTCATTAGCACCAAACGTTTATATTTCTCTCACCCCCTTCCAAATATTTGCCAAAATTAAGGAAAAACATGAAATAAACCTTAAATTGTAAAAGGTTTTCTAAGGCACGGTCATTACAAATATCACTCCCAGATACCCCCAATTGCTCACCTTAAATACCATGATAGTAAGTTAGCTAACTATAACATTAGATGACTACTTTTCTAATAACAATGGTTATTTTTCGGATCCGGAAATAATTGCGATTCTTTGATTAACCACATTATCAAACAATGTCAACCTCTGACTTTAAGAAGACTAAAAATATGAAATACAATTTAAAAAATAAAGGAGTAAACAAACAAACATTAAATAGTTTTTATTGCAAATATGGCTCATCGAAAATTAAGACAGCTATGCATTAATGGGATATTAATGGGATATTCAAAGCTAGTAGAGAAACAAGTATCTAAACATTTTCACAACTCCAATGTTTTGTTGAAGTTTGCACATATGCCATGCAACTTTTCAGCTGCCTTCACGATATATTAAAAGTATGGTGCCTATTGGAGTGTGAAGCAAGGTCACTGGGAGTGTACAGCTTTGCTTTTTTACTTGCAACTATTTCATACTTGGATACAAATTTTGACAGCAAGTAATAGTTTTTCCAAATCATTTAGGAGTATTGTAAAGGATCATTTTAAGATTTTTGTGACTCAGGCATGCTCTCTCACTTGTCTTTCTTTAATAAAAATCTTACTTTAATTGTATAAGAAAATGCCTGCAACTGTCATATGCTCCTAAAAATACAAATCCACCTAGTGCTAACCACACCACTCTTGGCACCAAGCCAGAAAACAATCTGTGCACACCTTCATCCCTGCCAATTTTCATTGCTAATTGTATAATACCAGCCTTTGCTGTCTCTGCCTCTTTCTGCAAAAAGTTACAGAAACAATTTAACAAATGCAAAGGAAGAAAAGGTCTTTGTAAAAGGACTGTGTGATAGACTGAGTGAACTCTTGCAGTGATGATGAGGAACACTGAATTTGGCCACAAAAACTCTTTTTGAAACAATAACAATAAAAAACTAATTGTATCAATATCAATTTCTAGTTATTTATCAATACTAATTTGATGATATCTCCAACCATAGGGCTTTATGGCTATTGACTTTATTTATATCAGCTATTTGTAACTTTTTTATTTATCTAGCAAATTACAATTAATGTGTGAATAAAGGAAAGGTCACGGTAGCAGGCTACTCAACGGACTCCTAGGAGTTTTCTGTGGCGAAAAATTAATAAAAATGTAGTAAATAAGAAACACCGCAATGCGACGAGAATGAACAACAATAAATACACATAAATTAGTAAATGCTAATATTTTGCCCCGGCATACGAGGAATCATCAGAGCAAAAGTGATGCTACCATGACCTTTTCACTTTTACGGTGCTGAAGCCCCCCATGCCATTGCATTGCAGTGTTTCTTATTTGCTACAAATTACAATTAACCTTCTTGAATGTAGGCATGTAGGAACAAAAATACACAAGAGATGGGATTATGATAACGTTATTTTATAATAATTCACTTTTAAAGACAGTAAGCCAAGGCAGAGAAAATTGATAAATGATAAAGTTTCATTGTAAAGTAAGCAGAAATTTTACAATTTATGTAACAGATATTACATAGAAATATTCAGTTACCTCAGCTAGCATTACTCTTGTTTTGACAACATCCAAAGGAGTCGTTATTGCACCTGAAATAGCACCAGATATTGCACCAGCTAACCCAGAATGTAGTGCATTTATTGTGCCATCATGATTTGATAACTGTTTCTAAAAAATGAAATTATAAAAAAGTTAATCAAGAATTCATCAGGGATCCCTCGACAGTACTAAAAATAAACATCAATAACAGGAATAAATCCTCAGCCTCAATCATCTGGTGGGGGAATGCATTATTTGAAGCTATCAAACTTATGAGTAATCAAAGTGATCATACAAAAAACTCTAGGGAAAAGGGGGAAAACTGTGTTTCAGTTTGGAGATACAAGTTCCCTGCTACAATTGTGAACAAATGTTGTATCAACAAATCCAGTACTATCAAAATACTTCAGGTTCATTGAAAGTGTCCCAGGTAATGTGTCTAGCTAGTGTTTTTACATTCAGTAGATGCTAAGTCATTACACAATTTTTCAAGACACACTTCTGTCGAGACTGTACTTGCACATTGCAAGAAATCTAAAATACCAGTCCTACCATAGTAGATTTTTTAATAATTTCTCGTGGATGCTAGAAAATAAGGACACTTGTTTGATTTCTACTTGTTGAAACTATGAATAACAGCTTTATACCTTGAGATACTCCCATATAGGAAACTGGATGAATGAGAATGGAATCTGCAAAAAATAGAAAACAAATTCAAGGATCATAAACATTTGATTTCACCTTTACCGTTTCACCAGATATTGAGCCAATCAAATTAGTACCTTTCTTTTGATTCAAGAAACAGTACAAATGTGTTGGCCACGTGTTAAAGGAGAACTATCCTTGTAAAAATACTCTTTTTGCACTAAATGTTTTTATGAATATTTATTAATAGAGTGAAAACATAAATTATATCATGGATAATTTTTAGTCTCTCCACCTTTCCTATGCTAGCATTCCAAATCAGTTTAAACTCATTCAAATGCTAAACACATTATCATTTTC